GATGCATTTCAGATGTTGAAACCTCGAAGAAAACTCCAATGGTTATCGTCACCTGGGAAGGTAGTTATTGAATTGGAATTACAAGATCGTACTTTGGAATTCGAAGTTTTGCCAGTACATGCAACAGTCATTTATCATTTCCAACAACAAGGTATGATCATGTTTATCCTGTCACTCGTAATTTATTTGATTAACGCTTCCGATTATCTTAGATAAATGGAGTTTGAGTTCTTTGGCTGAAGAGATGAAAATGGAATCCACGAATTTGCGAAGCAAGATGATATTTTGGGTTAATCAAGGGATTTTAAAGTTAGTTGCGGAGGATGAATGGATTTTATTAGAAACCGCCGAAGCAACAGATAGTTCTAACGGTAATTATATTATACAACATTCATATATATTTATATGTTATATTAAATATAACTATATAATTAGAACTTGACCTCGCTGAGGATATAAGTATTAATTTCGTTGAAGATCAGAAGATCGAAGAAACGCGTAGGTGTTGATCTCAACTTTCGTGCGCTGCATGTTTGACCTTGTATTACTGAATAAAATCATTGAAATAAATGCACAATTTAGATAATGAATCTGGATGGATTCCTGTGAAATTGGTGTGATTAACAAATTATAAATATCCCTTTCGTGAGTAGTTTTTTTTTAAAAAAATTTTCAAATAATTTAACGGACATGAATGACTTGCATGAATTTTTCAGTCAAAATTAATAAATGTCTGAGTTGGATCTAAAAACATGAATTTTTCTTTTGAGCTGCATCGTCCCTTATGAAATATACGCGTATATTGACTTTTTCATTCTCTTTTTTCTTTGAGCTCGAAATAATTTCAGAGAAATTTATTGAACTTGAAATTTACACCGTAATTTTTTTTTTTTTTTTTTTTTTTTTTTGCAAGATGCAAATAGTATAACAATGGCAAAGAAAATAAATGACTGCTGATGATTTTACACGTCATAAACTTATCTAAATATTTTTAACGTGATTTTCAAATAACATAATTTCAATAGCTATTTATATTAACAAATTGTATTAAGTTTAATAAAGATATTAAATAATATAGTCAAAATTTTAATATTTAGGTTTTTAAGTTTGCCGAATTTGAATATAACGAATATTAAAATTCATATAAATTAAATTTATATAAATTATTTTTATAATTTTTAGATGTAACAAATAAGATTTAAAATTTATTATCTAATATCAATTTAAAATTTTTTAGATGTGATGTAATATATAAAATTAAAATTTATCACCGAGAATTTTATGCATTGCAATTAAAGTATTAAAAATTGTCCTTATAACTAATTTTCGGCATTTTTTTTTTAATTCACGTGATGCATATCGTTAGTACGCCTCATATACAGATAAATAAATGGATTTTAAAACAAATTCATTTTCAATCATGACCCGTGGAGATAGTCTTATTGATGATTTAAAGCTCTTAATTAACAATCCTCAATATAGTGACTTGGAAATTAAATGTAAAGATGGCACCATTCTCTATGGCAACTGTGCAATTCTTGCGACCCGTTCTGAAGTATTTGATAGGATGCTCTTTACTCGAACAAGCGAAACCCTTGATAAACATAAACAAGTATCTTTTCCAAAAATTGAAACACCGATCATGAAGATTATTCTCGAGTATTTGTATACTGGGTCGGTTTCTGATGGAACCTTGTCAGCAGAAAATTCATTCGAAACTTTAAACGCAGCAGATTTTTTTCAATTAACGAATCTTCAAGAACATATTTCAGAATTTTACAAAAAAGAAAGTCAGAAAGAAGGAATCGATAACAAATCTCCCGAATTATTATCAAAAGCAGTTCAACTTATGTCTTCGTCAGCTGATAATGGAATTATTGATTTTCTAGTGGACTCTGTTTCTAGGCTTCCACTGGACACTATTGAACCAGATCGATTATCTTTCCAAGCATTACAATGTCTACTATCCAAGTCAAATGAAGAAAATAAAGAATTTGCTACTAGCGAATATTCATTACTGCGGATTGCGATTTTATTAGCTGCGAAGAAAGTATCAAAAGAAGCTGTAACTACATTAGAGAAAAGACTACCGATATGGGATAAAGTCAAAGATGAGATTGATTTCAATAACAATGACATATCTGACATAAAGAATATCTGCGCTTCTACTGCTGATTATTTAATACCTTTCCTCGAATTTATTGACCTTCGACGTATCGATGGAAAAATCCTCACCAGTATCATCGAACCGTTAGATTTAATTCCTTCTGAGAATCTAATGTCAGCTTACCGGTTCTATGCTTCCGAGAGAAAATCCTCTTCTCCTTTTCGCGGTATCAATCATTGCAAATGGGACAAGAATGGCTGTGGTCCAGATTTAGAAGTTAGCCCTGATGGATATACAGTATCATGCTATAATAAAGTGAAATGGAATAGTGTTAGGACCAACCATTTAATGAGTCGTGGAATTTATAAACTTTATGTCAAAATTGAAGACAATGAAAAAAATACTTCGATTGGAATTGGTGTTTGCGGCAAAGGAATTGACTACTCGACTTTCTTAGGAAAACTAGATAATGGTTGGGGTCTATATTCGGAAGGTCGCGAGTATAAAAATGGCCTAATTCAATATGTAAGTGCTCCACACTTTGATAATATAGGTAGTGAAATCACAGTGCACTTAAACATGGATGACAAGACGTGTGAGCTCTCTATTAATGGAAAAGATAACGTTACTAGATGGACTAATCTTCCTTCAAAGTTATATTTTGCCGCAGCCTTATATGGTCGGGCAAAATTAGTAATTAAAAGATGACATTTAAGCTATCTTTAATTATTTACGGTGTTTGAATAAAATCAATAACTAAATAAATATGCTTTCAATCAAATAGAATATGAATAAATATCATACTATTGTATCGTATAATTTCAATAACATAAAATTTATTAAGTTGATATGATTTCTTTTTTAATAAACAATCTATATAATTCAATTGATATTTCTGTAAACCTAAAATTTTACTCCCAAGATTATATTTTAAAAAGACAATTTAAAATTTTTAAATTTTATATTTATTTATTTAGTTTAATTCATAAAAAAAATATTAGACTTGGAACTTTATCAAGTACTTGCTATAGCCCTCGCATCAACTATCTTATACAATATACTTAGAAAGTTAACAATATTCTATTTTAGATTCTATTTATGAAAACTTAATGTCATCATATAAACAAATAGACTTTCCTAGTGATTAAATTGTTGATATTATATTATTAATAGTATAAGCCTAGATAAATAGCAGAAAACTTTATATATTGATTATATTTGCATCAATACGATATCAATCATTTTATTTTAGAACTCAACTTCTTAAACGTTAATTGATCATTTGGATATTAAAATACTTTTTACTTAAAATTCAAAGAAAATTATAATCTTTTTTATTTTTACTTGTAATATTATAAATAAGTTTTACTTAATATTTAAGCAAGTACCAAATTATAATATTTAAATTAAAATAGTTGCACATTTCAACATTTATTAATATAATATTAGATAAAAGATATTTAAATAATTATTGAAGTTTTAAAATTAAACTTTAAAGTATATCGATATAGTTTTAAGCTAATTTAAATATTTATATTATTATCATAATTTTAAAAACAAAATCTTAAAGATTAATAATTTAATTTGAAATAACTATATAAAAAAAATTAAATAAAATCATTTCTTAAACAATTTTTATAAACAATTATTTTAATATTATAAATAATAAAAAGTTAAAATTTTAATTTCTATAATAATTTGTA